AGTCGGTTAAGCGTCCGACTTCAGCCAGGTCACGATCTCGCGCTCCATGAGTTCGAGCCCCGCGTCGGGCTCTGGGCTGATGGCTCAGAGCCTGGAGCCTGTTTCCGATTCTGTGTCTCCCTCTCTCTCTGCCCCTCCCCCGTTCATGCTCTGTCTCTCTCTGTCCCAAAAATAAATAAATGTTGAAAAAAAAAAAATTTTTTTTAAAAATAAAAAAGTGAAACTCATACTGATACACTCAAGCTGGTATACTTGACTACATAAAGCTCAAATGGCAAACAAATATATAGCATAATTCAAATTAAAATCATATGATGAACTGGAGAAAATATTTGCGACATAGGTGACAGTAGCTATCTTTCATACATACAGAGTTCTTAGAAAATACTAAGAAAAATCTAAACAGCCCAGTAGAAAAGCAGGGGGAAAAATGTTACCTTAATTTAAAAAATTTTAAAACTCACTAGCATCGAGACTTAAATGTAAAATAATGTCACTATATCTCTTTTCACCTATACAGTTGGTAAAAATTTTAAGTCACGGTCATCACTGGAGTTGGTGAGCATGTAGAGAAAAGCCACTCTCATCTGCTGTGGCTGGATACATAAATGTGTAAATTAGCATGACATTCTTGAGGGATGTGGGCCAAGTAAATATGAAATGTTTAATGAGTATACTCTTTGACCCATAAACGCTATTCAAGGAATTTATTCCAAGCACAAGATAAGACAAATTGCCGTAGATCGGAGCCAACAAACTTTTTCCATAAAGGGCCAAATGGTCAATATTTGAGTCTATGGAACAACATTCTCTGCCACAGCTGCTCATCTCTGCCATCCTAGCATGAAAGTGAACACGGACAGTAGGTAACGAATGGGCATGGCTGTGTTCCAATAAAACTTTATTTACAAACTGGGCAGCAGGCCGGATTTGGCCCCTGCGGTGTGATTTGCTGCCCCCTGCCATACACATGGTTGAACCAGCTGTCCGTGTCTGCCCCATTTGTAGCACTGATGAAGAAAACAGACTAATGCTCCTTAGGAGGGACCCAGTTAAGGAACACGAAGCACTACACAGAGGTAAAAGCCATGCTACAGGTCAGGGTTTCTCACCCTCAGCACTACTGACCTCCCACCCCCCTGTGCTCCCCTGAGTGAGCCCTCGGGGTCAAAGGGAAGCACTCTCCCCCCCCACCCCCCATCAGAAGCTGACCTCAGCTCCCCAGCCTTCGCTCCGCCCTCTGGCAGACTCCTGTCCTCCTCGGAACTCAGCGACCACATAACCTCCCCAGCCCATCAAACCCTGCCTTGAGTGGCTATCATTTCGACTTGGTGCCATTTCTCGTTTTTACACGGTTGGGTCTTGTCTCTGCAGCTACATTATCAGGCACACGCTGTGTCCTGAAAGCCCACGGCCAGGCCCCAAATGCATTTCGTGTTAGTTTAGAAAGGGAGTGATCTCAGGAGGAAGAAAGTTGGTGCCGTGTCTAAATTGTGTACCAGAGACGTTCACAAGTAGGGCTGATGTCTACTAAAAACAAAAGAAACTGAGGATCTCCAGTTAATACATTAAAGCAAAGGAGACCAGCCGCAAGGCAGCAGGACTTTCTTTTAATGTTTATTTATTTTTGAGAGAGAGCACGAGCATGAGCCCCGGAGGGGCAGAGAGCCCGAGAGAGAGAGAATCCCAAGCAGGCTCCACGCTGTCAGCACAGAGCCCGACTCAGGGCTCGATCTCATGAACCACGAGATCGTGACCTGAGCTGAAACCAAGAGTCAGATGCTTAATGGACTGAGCCACCCAGGCGCCCTGAGGCAGCGTGACTTTTAAACATAGGTGAGTGAAGACTGGGGACAGCATAGTGTTGATGAACCAGAGTCCCAGCACTCGCTACGTCCGCAGCCTCCCCTCGCGCCTCAGTTTTCTCCTCTGCAAATGGACATCCCAGCGGTGCCTCCTTCCCGGGGCTGATGTGATGGTTAGATGAGGTGACGTGCGTCGTGTACCTCAGGCAGCGCACGTGGAAATCTTGCAGGAGGTCGTAACAGTTGTCGCTAACAGAAGGAGGAGGATGAAGAGACAGGCCAAGCACAAACATGGTAACATGTACCTAAAGAGTCAACTTTACGTTTGTAAAAAACAAACAGTGCAAACACTTGCTACGAAGTGAGCATAATCCCATTGCTACCAACTCCCCAGAAAGGCTGAGGACAAATAGAACCACAGACCAGTCTTCGTTACAAGTTTTAATGCAAAAATTCAAACCGAAATATCAGCACACCAGAACCACTGACAGCCCAGAGCCTGGAACCCGCTTCAGATTCTGTGTGTCTTTCTCTCTCTTCCCCTCCCCTGTTCGTGCTGTTTCTCTCTCTCAAAAATAAATAAATGTTAAAATAAATAAATATTAAAAAACAAATTCAACAGCCATTTGTGATATTATGAAACAAACCAAAAAAATCAGAATATAGGGATACTTCTTTAACGTGACAAAGTATTTCTTGGTTCAAGATCTAATACTGCGCTTAATGAAATTCACAAGCGACAATTCCACCAATGTCATGAAAAATACAAGGGTGGCCATTGTCACCACTGTCCCCTAGGATCTATCAAGCACAGTGGGACACGAGAAAGAACGTAGAGACAGAGAAATTAGAACGGAAGAGGCAAAGCGGACACTTTTTGCAGGTTTGCTCTACACGTAGAAAAGCAATGAGAATAAACTGAACAGCCCCTTCACACAGTACGAGAAGGAAGACGGGGAGTTACAGAGAGCAAAAGCGTTCGTGTGTGCAAACAGCGGCTGGAAAGAAAGTAGAACAAAACGGTCCGTTTTCAACAGCAACAGCAACAAAACAATAAAGCATCCAGGAACAAACTTAATAATAAATGTGTGTTCTGTGTGAAGAAAAGTTCAAAACACTGTGAGGGATGCAGAGGACAAGAGATAAAAGCACCCTGTGTTCTTAGGCAGGGATACGCAGCATGGTAAATACGTCAGCTCTCCCAAACTTCATCTGTACGTGTACTACGATCCAAACAAAAATACCAGTGGCATTATGGTGGAGGTGGGGTGGGCAGGCCTCACAGAATGTGACCAACCTGATTTTCCTGTTTTTTAATTTATATTTATTTTATTTATTTTTGAGAGAAACACAGAGAGAGAGAGAACAGGCAGGGGAGGGGAAGAAAGAGAGGAAGACACAGAATCCAAAGCAGCCTCCAGGCTCTGAGCTGTCAGCACAGAGCCGGACGTGGGGCTTGAACCCACAAACTGTGAGATCATGACCTAAGCCAAAGTCAGACATTCAACCAACTGAGCCACCCAGATGCCCTGTGACCAACCT